TTACCTGTAACGTTCTTCGCTTGTTGTCCTCTGTGTGAATCCAAGCTCTTAAAGATAACTCGCTCACAAAAATTTCTGCAGCTTTGGCAAACAACACTGGAGCCTCTGCTGATATCATCTGTTGATCAACAAAAATTGTTCAAGATCACCACAAACATCAACTTGGGATCAGATAAAGTTAAAACAAGATTTGCAGAAACAAGCAATGGACATTCAAATTTAACCCAATAGCCTACTTATGAACTGCAGCTTAGGAGTTCACAACAAGAAGGTAACAGCTGCTAAGAGGATCTAAGTTTAGATATTAATTGAAGGGAGAACACTCTAACTCCCAGACAGAAATGTGTTTAAAACTTGCAGGACCCCTAATAATTTTTTTTAATTACAAAAAAGGTAGTCAAAAAAAAGCCTAAACACAAGAACATTACATAAGACGTTTCCGGCAATCCCTTCTTCAACATACACAATATGCAGACTAACTGTTACATTCACACTGTAAATTACAATCTAACACAGATCACAATACATAAACACATTGTACTTAAAAAGAAAAAATATAAAAAATGAAACAAGAAAAATAAAATTGGGGGTGGGGGGGGGAGAGGAGGAGATATCAAATCCTCACATTGATAGCTGGAAAAAGACTGACAAACGCAATTGTGCAATTACACCCAGCAATCAATTTATATAATGTTCTTTCTGATGCATTGAAAAAGTCACTTAATGTATTTATGTGACCCAACTTAAAGAATGGCAATTTGCCTGAAATGTTCTTGTGTTGAGGTTTTTCTACAACTTTTTTTTTCTATTTTGAAAAGTGTTTCAAGAACATCCAAAAAGGGTTTACAAAAAAAGAAAGTCAATTGTAAATGAGCAATTGTAGTTCAGTAACATAGGATATATAGAGAGAGATTTTGATTACCTTCACATCTTCATCCAGTTTCATGATCTTTTTAATTCTCGCTAAGGGCAATTCTTGAGTTTTGTAGTCACTCTGGAAAAAAAAAATGATTAATACAACAACAAAATTCACGTTCATTGCACAAAGTGACCAAAATACAGTTGAATGTGTTTTAACAGCCACCTGTCTAAGACAATCACCTGTGCAAACAACCACTTCCCAATTCCTCCCCTACATTATTTCTACATTACCGTCTACATTATGACACAATCCAAGATGTCCACCTGTCTAGGCAACCACATTTATCTCAGCAATTGGCTGTCTTTGATAGTTTCGACTGTACTGCAGATTAAGTTCAAGTTCTAATGTTTTTGTTGTTGTTGCAAGATGCTAAAGTATCAGCTGTAATTAAATAGACTGCACTGGTTTAAAATCAAATAAGGAATTGAAAGCAGAAAAGAAAGCAAAACAAGAAACGAAAACCTTACAATTTAATTTTATAGATAATCTAAATCAAAACAATTACATGATATAACTGACTTAATTTTTTAAATATAATATATATATATATATGTGAGGCATCGTGGAGAAATCAGGCCCTCGTCAAAATAATGAAATTAAAGAAATAGGCATTTTCCCTCCAGTAGCCCCTATGGCAATTTTTTTCGAAGTGACTATTTCTCCAAACGTTCGGAGAAATAGTGCTGATCTTTATTTCTCCGAACGGTTTCCGGCTTCCGGTCTCGTGATTTTTTGCCTATTTATTGCGAAAGTTCGGCGCCAACTTTCATTCATTCTGCCTCTGCCCTCTGGTCTGGGAAGGAACACCGCATGGCAAGCCCGCCTATGGACAACCTTCAGTAACACCCACCACCATCATGTACATGTACACACACTAACTAAACATGATCAGTGGGCAACTTTTGAACGTATGACGAGCTGAGCTGTGGATGGAGAGACAGTTTGAGTGAAAGAGCGGGTGAAAGGAAGAATGTACGAATGTATCCACAGGCGACGACCAACCAGACAACGACACCGACTCCCTGGCCTGGTCCACAGCTCACGAACGAAAGGAATGCAGCTAAGGCAGTGTTTTGCCTATATTATTGTCCTTGGTTCGCAGGGTGCAAGGGAATGAGTGAGGTTTTCTTTGTGTGTGCCTGGAGGGAGGGGGTAGGGTGTGAAAGTCATGCGGACGGGGATGAGCCGCCGGAGAGAACACGGGAATTGAATGAATGAGTGAAACAAAGAGAGGAACGACTCATGAGCCCTGGAGTGAATGGATCCTGTGTTTCTATTTTTGCATACTTTGAACTGTTACATGTACTGAATAAAGGCTGAAATAAAGCCCAAAAAACAAACACACACACACACTCCTCACTCTCCACTTACACACTTACTACCACACACAGACAAACGCACATGCATGCACACACCCCCCCCCCCCAACACACACACACAGGAGCAAATTTTTGGGTCTAGATCTATATTTCAATTTTTAAGAGCTAGTTTAGAGATTTTTAGATGAGTGTAAAAACGTGAAAAAGAAAGGTTTCACAAAAGAATGAAATCAAAATTAGAACAGCCCATAAACAACAACAAAAATTAACAAATAAGGGCGTGTGTCCACCTGTCCGAAGAAGATTGGCCCTAAATGAGCGTATTTTTTTTTTTAAAGTACAGGATATCAATATTACATATAAATTATGGAATCACACACATTAAGGGGCCTGCCAGTGTCAGTACATGTAATAAGTTTTGGTGGAACGTACGCTCTAACAAAACACATTTAAATCTATATTTAATATATATATGTATATAATATATTTTTAGAATCTAATGAAGGTAGGAACATCAAATTAAATGACGTTACACTATACAACACCCCCCCCCCCCCTTTTTTTCCCCAACAAAAAAAAATTATAGAAAAACAACACATCAGAACAATAAATAACAAGAAAAAAAATTACACACAAAATAAAACACCACAAAGAGGGAAAAATAAAAGTAACTGTAACATAGTCAACAAATCAACGTGGTGACAACAAGTGAGAAAGAGACAAAGTGAAGCTAAGTGAAGATGCTAGTTCTATGTGTCGTTATCAATAAAACCCTCCGTAGATCTAGATCTAGATTTGGACAGCTCACGAGTGAATACAACACATTAAGTTTAAGAGCAGCACCCTTCATAGGCAACACGTCATATCTGTAGCGAAAAACTGTTTGGAACTGTAGCATTTCTTCATTATTTACTGCGGACATTTTTTGGACCGATTGAACTATATTGTATACGAACAATCTTTGGTAGGCCTATACTATAATTATAGATCTATATTATCCTAAATTTGCCGGCAAGGATGTGATTTCAGAGTGTTCGGAGAAATAGTGCCCAGCTTTATTTTCCCGAACGTTCGGAGAAATAGTGCCTAGCTTTATCTTCCCGAACGTTCGGAGAAATAGTGCCGGCCATTTTTTATATTTTTTAAGTTTTTTGATCAAAACATTTTATGACCGTTAAAGATACATTTGCTGGTGAATTTAACTAAAACAATTAATTGTACAAAATCAGTAGATTTTAAGTTTTCAAGGACTCTTTAAAAGCTTATAGACGATACCAAACTTTGACAGCCATTTTCTCGCAAATTTTACCTCCGAAAATAGGCCACCTCCATTTCCTTCAATCGCAAAGATCTTGACTTCTATTCAAGATGGACGGGTATTTTATTCAGCAAAAGACAGATAAGTAAACAAATTTTAAGATTATACCAATAACTCCATCCAAAAATTGACGAGCGCCTGATTCCACCATGTCGTGACACATATAATATTAGAGAAAAAGAATAAAACTGAATAAATTTTAAGTAATACCGCTGTAAGACTCTTTATGTTTTCGATGGCTTGGGGCCAAAAGTTGGTCAGCATCTGCTGTGCCTGGTCAGAGATGCCACTCTGTAGGATAAAGCTGGGATCTGTGGACATCTTGAGTCACTTTAGCCAGACAGAAGCTAACTCAGGAGAGCCTGGTAGGGATGAGGGAATAATAAGAGATGATATTACAAAAGTAAAAGAATTTTTTTAAAATCACATCTGTAATAGATCTAGATCTAAATCTAGATCTAGATATCTAGATCTAGATCTAGAACTAGATCTAGATCTAGATCTAGATCTAGATCTAGGACTGGCAAAACACACAAATGAAAATCTAAAATAAAAAAGGTGCAACAATAGAGACGGACAGTTCATGAACTCAGTGCTGTCTTGTTCTACCTATTTTAGTACGAGCCTTTTTAATAGACAACAGTTCAAAACCAAAAGTGAGCCTAAGACTAAGATAAGAAGTCACACCTTTTTAATGTTAACCCTGGAAAGCCAGGGGATGAACGATGAAAGTATCGAAGAGGAACGTCATGAAAAGAAAGCAAAAGACAGGGACACATGGGGGAAGTTGTGCATTGCCAACAAAAACCGTTTGAGTAGGCAGAGGCATCCCTTCAGTTCAAACATGTTCTTTTGTTTATTTAGTAAAAGTGGCCTCAGTCGTTACACTAAACTGAGTTGAAAATTCGCAGAAAACTCGGTATGTTGATTGACTGGCTAATGATGAACCAGAATAAAGTTTCCTCAACCAATAAAAATGGGTCAGATTCTTAGAGAACACCAATCCAATCGTCTCGGTCGGTCTCGGCCAGTCCCACCAATGGGAACAAAGAATGACATTCGCCAATCAAAGAAGATGATAGAGATATATTCGGTAATAAGTTCAAGTCATTAGGCCTACTCATTAGGCCAACAACCAAAATACATGCAGGAAAAACTTACAAAACACCAATGAAATGGCTTTAGAATACAAGAAAAGAACACAATGTGCTGGTGTTGTAGAGAAGATGGCGCCGTTATCTCTTTTTACCTGTCAGTCGACGGCAGAAAAATCAAGACGAATAAAGATGTCTGCGCCTGCGCAGGAGTGTTACGGAACGGAAGTTAAGGTTCCTACAAAAATAGCCTTGCGCCACGACGCGCGCCTCAACTCAATATCAAGTTATCAACCTCGCATAAATTGCCAAGTCAAGAGTTAGACCTATTAATATTAATAAATGCATACCCACTTGAACGCGCACACTGAATCATTATTACAATAGCTTTTTCACTTTCGCCTGTTCGCGGTTAAAAAAGATACAAACATACCACTCTTGTCAAGTATTTACATGCGGGTATAAAAGCTGGATGACCAACAGAATAATAGGATGCATTTATGAATAGGCCCGTATTATTTTATGATGGCGAAGGTGACAGCAAACTAAAATTCCGACACGTTTACTATTATATGTAACCTATGTATTATATCGGCTCCAGCACAAAACAAAAACAAAAAAACGAAAAAGATTAAGATCTACTGCATCTATCTAAAACATCAAGAAGTTTGCCTTGGTTCATCAACACAATGACACTTTAACAGCATGCCGAAAAGTTTTTTTCGAGATTCATAATATGTGGAGATGTCTAGACGGTCTTGGGATTAAATTGACAATAAGCTAACGCTGAAAATGAGGAGGCATGGTGATGTTGTCTCAAAATCAGCAATTTGTAGGCCGGCCACAGTTAGGCCATCATTTATAGTTGTACGTGATCACGTGCATGCACCGTGGTAGGCTAGAGAACTATAAGATTCTATATTTAAGAGCCCAAATAAAGAAACGTTATTTTATCTGCTGGTTAAAAAAAATGTTTAAAGATAATACGTCTTTTTATTTGGTCGCTGGTCTATGTAATACCATGCAAAGTTTATGGCGTTGGTAAATTCATCAATTAACGAGCTAGCTGCTTTTGTGGACAAAAAAAAAGTGGACACAAAAAAGTGAACAAGCTATAGCCATGGACAGACATGGTAAAGTCAATGACCTGCTCTGACTTCGATCTACCCCTGCAGCTCGAACTGAACACTGGAAGCTTTTGTTTATTTTATTTTTGTGTGTGTGTGTGTGTGGTAATATTAAGAGTTTTACGGTACGTGTAATACAATAATAATATGGTCATTTAAGTGCCAAAGATTGGAGATGATACTAGAGAGCAACATAAACAAAATAGAAGGAGAGATAAGGACATAAGATGTTTGATAGGAAAGAAGGAGTAATTTTATAAACCTCACGTACCAGAGCACCGCCAATTAATTAATTTAACCACCTGCCACGAGCTGGAGGTCTTCGATCAACACGCTACGCCTTTCAAAATGAAACCGTTTAGGTAGCATAAGCTACTGCGCCAGAAATGCAGTCACTGGGGAAGTGTTGCAATACAAGATCTTGCCATGGAACCACGGCAACCCTCAGACAATTTGTTATAAAGCGCGTGAAAGTCGAACAATGCAACTTGAATGAAGAAAAGGTAGAAACATGTCTTCCCAAAACAGAAAAGAATTATAACTGGTCTCGTGGAACGGCATGAATTATTTAAAATAAATAGTAGCCGCTACCATTTGAAGACTTTGATGATTACAAATCCGAAAACAAGAATTAAAGAGGCACTATATAGGGCCTACAAAAGATATATTATATGAGGTAGAAAACAATACGTCTATTATTTTATTATGTGCCTTCTGGATCACAAGACTGTGCCGAGGAGTCAACTTCATAAGTTAAGTACCGTCGAAATTGTCTAAGACGGCCAAGACCCATTGTCAATTAACTAAGGAGATGGTTCTCTTAGACTGGCGGTCGTCTCACACCGTGTCATTAATTTAGGCCTATAATGTGTTGGGCTTTTTTTTTAACGCAAGGGGGAAATGGAAAGTATGGCCGTTTGTCTAGGTAATTGTCGCGCAGGAGGCCGTTTATCAAAGCAGATTCGACTACTGTAGGTTTAACTGTGTGCAGGTGGCTGTTCATTAAAGCAGATTCGACTGCGCATGTAGGTCGACTAATTTAATTAAGTACATGTGACCGTTAATCAAAGCAGATTCGACTGCTTCGTGGTAAAACATGAAAAAGTGTCACTTCAATGGTTAACAGAACCAGGATCAAGTAAAACAAAACATAGAGAAAACGTCAAATAGACGATACCGTACGTTATTAGTACATGTATTAGTATTAGACCAAAGGTTGAACAAGAACCAAACTGATCCATGCTAAAGAGACTACGATTCTGAAACATTTGGAGAAAAAAAATCTTAAAGTACCAGATTATTGTCGATGTTTTACGCCCACCGTCGACACAATTTAAATCAATTAT